AAAATAACCGAGCAGTCTTCCAGTGATCACAAGTACAAGAACAGAACATCTGTCTACTAGTAGCAATCTAGCTAGTTGGTCTTCATGTGAAGTGCTCCCTTGGCTCAACTTCCATATGCTAAGCTATTTGCTTTCCTGCCAAAGCCTCTACTCTCGATGGATACGTATCCTTGATGGATTTCTTTCACCAATTGATTTGCCTGCCAATCTCCGTGTCTTACGTGGACTCGGTCCACTTTTGGTCTAAACAAACCTCACGAACGATGCCTTTGTACTGCGGCCTCCAGCGCTAGTGTATGCACCTTGAAAATAAATGCACGAGGCCTGCCAGCCCACGTGGGTCTTGCTAATCGCTGCTGCTGCAGCACTCTGTGCCAAGGCCCTGGGCCTCGCGCCTCAGGCCTCACCGCCTGCCGATCGAGCAGCTGCTCGCTCTGCTCAAGTTGCTGCTGCATGTACGCTAGGTCAGGTGCATCCACGCGCACGCGTCACAATACGCCGCCGCCGCATATTCCGATTGCTTCTTCCAATCTGGTCGAGAACCACGCCGCAGCCGGCTGCATCTCAAACTCGTATTTCGTCCGGCCGGCTGCATCTCAAACTCGTATTTCGTCCGGATCAACAATCCATAGCCTCCGAATAACCTAGCTCTAATACCACTTGTTAGAATAAATCTAAGACATACCGTTGATCATTCGAGGACCAAGCAATCACACGAGCACGACACCGAGATTTGTTAACGAGGTTCACCGATATGGCTACATCCCCGAGGCTTGACTACGGGCGCTCCTCCCCGACACCATCACAATACCGCACACCGGCCACCCGGGCGCCGACACACGCCGCCGGCTCCCCCTTGCACGCATGTGCTATTATGTTGGCATAGGTTACATCGTGTGTCTACCCCGCTATATATGAGAGGCCTAGGATACAAGTGTCCTACTTGGACACGACTCCATATCCTGTCTACACACCGTACGACTCCAAGTCCAACTGTAACCTAACTTGTACAATAATATTCGACACAACTTTAACAAGTTCGACGAGCGCAAACTCGTCGACCCCTACTTCAAAGGCGTGTACATGCAGCGCGGGGAGAAGGCAATGGCGAACCACTGGGGGCTCATTCAATCGGCGTGTAACAAATGATATGGGATCGTCGAGGAGATCGCGGCTCGCCCAGAGAGCGGCACCAGCATCGAGGATCAGGTATGGCTCGCCGGCCTCTCCTTTTCCATTTCGCCGGGCGCGTGCCGCTCACTGGTAGTCCCTCGGCGCAGCTCGTGCGGATGTCCGGCATGTTTCGGCAGGACAGCAGTGACCAAGATTTCAAATGCCTCCACGTCTTCAAACGGATCGAGAAGTGCGACAAGTGGGTGGATGTCCGGCACACCCTCGCCAAGGCCAAGGAGACTTACAAGCCGGACGCGCCGACGCCGGGCGCGGGCGACATGCGCCCCGAAGGAAACAAAGGGGCCAAGAAGGGGAAACACGCCGACTCGGCCACCGCGCGCGCAGGACTCCATCGAGCACTGCCTCGCCGACTCACATGCCCGGGCCGCCTACGTGAAGAGAAGACCGAGGCGCGGTGGTCGGCTTTGATGACGAGCAGCACCGTCAAGCTCGACCTACTCCGGACCAACGTCGCCGCGAAGAAGAGGAACACCGACCTGGCTTTCCTGCTGGGCGGCGCGGACATGCAACGACGAGGCGGTCAAGGCATGATACTTGGCGGAGCGCGGCCTCATCCTGAACCAGCTGCCGTCGACGGTGCCACCAACTCCCACGCCCACGCCGACTTCGCCGCCAAGCCCGAGCGAGATGCCTCCATGACGCCCAGCAGCAGAGAAGCCACGCCGACGCCGCCCAGCACAGAAGCAGCCCCGACACCGCCAAGCTCGCGCACGCCGACGCCGGAGGCCGACCACGCCGTGTGATGCGTTGTACGCGCGCCCTTCCTTTTTTGCACGCCGAACTTTTCATTCGTTCGCCGAACTGTGGCAAGATGATCGCTGAACTGGTCCCTGTGATCGTCGGACATGTGGCATTTTTTTGTGAACGGGAATGACCAAGTTTGAATTTGCTGCGGTTTGGGGACACCGTCTGAGGGCGTGGCTGGGAGTTAGGTCGCCCCTAGAGGCCGATCTAGCGCCGGTTCATCTCCAGACCGCTTTTTTTCAATACCCTATGGGGCTGAACGGCTAGAGATGCTCTTACCGCGTCCTAGTTGTCTCCCTCCAGGGCATGCTGTCGCCGCACATGGCGCAGGTCACGCCTTGGGCTCGGGCTGCGGGCTCGATCAGTCCCCGTTGGGGCGCGCGGTAGCAAGTGGTCCTCGAGGTTGTGGTTGCTCGTCGGTTTGTGTTTGTGTTTGTGTTGAGATGGTTGATTTTCATGTTCACATCTTATACGGTTGATTTGACAATCATCCTGTGCCAACATAAACACTGAGCGATTTTTGTTAGCCGAGCCACCATATATGCTCTGCTCATCCGGGGCCTCCGAGGACTTGCATGTTCTGCATTTTCAAATTGAAACCAATTGAATTAGGCGATGATTTTCTTAGGAAAATCTCATCTTTCTCTCTCTTCTTTCTGTCGGGAGGTGGCCTGCCGGATCCACGTCAATGAGTAGAGTTGGCCAAGGAGAAGGCGAGGTTAAGGGTTAGCACGTGTGTGACATTTTTCTCAAAACTCTTTTAATGCTCAATGCATGTGTGGAGCGAAACAATGTACTATTTTCCTTTTTAGGAAAGGAGGATCATCCCGATCTTTGCATCAGAGCGATGCATGCAAACCCTTCATTAAGCAAATTATCTGAAAGGTCTGAGGTTCATTACAAACTCGCTCGGAGCTGATAGGGTAATCAAAAAGTGAAAAGGAGTGCTACAACCGGCAAAAATAAGACAAGATAACTAAACACCTAGCCTATTATTAGACCATCATCCAAATTGATTGTAAATATCCCGCGCTACCATCTTTCATCAGGTAGACCTGGTAACCAAAGGCTTCCTGATTTCCGCACGAGTGAGTAACTCTCTCTCGCAAAAAAAAATCCATATCATTTCTGCAGTTTCATATAGCTCAAAGTAATACGCATACTCCTATCCAAATATGTCTCATAGTATTTGGTTCTATTCCATTTAGCCACGTTCCAAATAACGTGTGAATAGTATTTGGAGGGTTGATATTGAAGGCTATATTAATTGAGCGCCATAATAGTTTGGCAAGCAAACACTCAAGAAAGAGGTGTTTAATCGTTTCATCTTGGTCACAAAAGCAACATCGTTGACTACCCTTCCAATTGCGCTTGGCCAAGTTATCCTTAGTTAGAATCACCTCCTTCTTAACAAAATATTTTTAACAGTACTTTGATCTTCCAGATATGTGTCGATTTTAGAATCGGGCCAGAGTCAATTAGGTCAACATACATAGATTTCACTGAGAAGATTCCGCTCCTGATTAATCTCTAGTGAATACTATCAGGCTCATCTAAGAGGTGAACATCCATCAACCTGCGCACCAGATTTAGCCAAGCTTTCCATCAATCTCCTATTAAAGACCTCGAAAACTGAATATTTAGAGGGTTGGACCGTAATATTGTAGCAACATAAGCCTCCTTGCGTTGTACAATAGTATTATAGAGAGGTGGATATTGTGTAGCTAAAGGCATCTCTCCTAACCACGTATCCTCCCAGAATCTAGTCGAATTACCGTTTTCAATGATGAATTTGGTCCTATGAAAGAAAGTTGCTTTCGTTCTCATTAACCCCTTCCAGGAAAGTGAATCATTGGGTCTCACGGTAACCTGGGCAATGTTATTAGATTGTAAGTAGTTATTATATAAAATTTGTATTCACGTGCCTTCGGTCTCAAAAGAAAGTCTGTATGGCAATTTATTGAGCGGACATCTATTCTTTATCTCTAAATTCTCAATGCCGAGACCACCCTAGTCCTTCGGTCTATAAATGATATCCCACTTACTAAGCCTGTATTTCCTCTTTATCCATCGCTCTGCAAAAAGAACCGTGATCGATAGAAGTCTAACATTTTCGTACCCCCTACAAGTACTTCGAAGAAAGACATAAGGAACAACGATGTACTATGCGTCGCACATCTCATTCCCTTTCATTTAAGACACTTCAGAGCAAGGGAAATATCTGTGGCATGCTAGGAACAATTTTTTTACCTTCGAGATTATCGTCCCTCCTCTTATCCCCTCTATGGTAACATGAAAATGAGCCCTTGGATCATCAATATCTAATTCAGAAATAAAAATTTCAAGGACGGAGGAACTTTGTCCGGGCATTTTTGAACGTGTGGAAATCGGATGAACTGTTCTCTCCCATAGTCCGATGCCGATTTCATGCAATCCTTGGTTTGCTTCAAGGAGAAAAATAGCTCGCCGGCGCAGACAATGATGCTAGACTTGCTGCCACATAGGTTGTTTCTTTCTACTCCCTTCGTTCCAAATTACTCGTCGCAGAAATGGATATATCTAAAACTAAAATACATCTAAATACATCCATACATGCGACAAGTAATTCGGAACAGAGGGAGTCAGCTGTTCAGTTCCTTTTCGCCTGCAGTCAGCTGAAAGCAGCTCTGCTTCCTTCCGTATGAAAATACAGATATATCGCCGCGGCGTGGTACGCTATACTCAGAACCATTTGGAGAGTTGAACGGAATCGGTTCCTTCCAATCGTTTGTATTTGTAGCATATAATTGCACCAGACTCCAGTAGGCCGCCGCTCTCCAATTGAACATCGGAACTGGCCTGAATCTGCTACAGGTTAACACAACTAATTCGTGGAGCTAGCTGGCTTTCTGCATCAAGAAGCCAAGCCCTAGAACGAGCAGGCATTGCCGTTCACGATCCCGCAAATGCCAAAAATGTGCCTTTTGCGGTTGGATCCCACCGTCGATTCATGCTACTTAAACCGCCATGGCGCCATGTAGTATCATCTCTCGCTGGATCGATAGGTCCCGTTCCCACCCAAGATGCAGCTGCTCTCGGCGGCCTGCCGTGCCCTCTCCCTTGTCCTCGTAGTGCTGCTCCTCTCAGCCACCGGCGCCGCACCGATCGATGGCGACACGGCGTCCAGCAGCAACGCGGCGGCGTTGACGGCGGCGGGCGGCGTCAACTCCTCATCGCCCGCGTCGGCGGTCGACGAGACCATAGAGACGTACCTCTGCCACATCTGCCTCGGCCGCGACCTGTTGAACAGGAGGGTCTGCCCCACCTACTGGCCCGACTGCCACGCCCTCTGCGACCCGCACCCGCCGCCCGCCGGGCCTCCTGCATTGCCGGCCGCCCCCAACCGCGATGATCCGTGCTACGTCGTGAAGATATACAACAACGGCACCCACGCCGTCGTCCAGTACCTGGACTGCAGGCTGACCCGCTGGTGCTCCCTCACGTGTGGCGGAGGCGACGACGTGAGAGCCTTGGGTGCTGCTGCGACCTCCCCCGCGCCAGCAGCTCCGTCGTCCCTTCAGGGCATGCCGCCGCCGCGCGTCGCCGAAAGGCGGGTGTGCAACTCGCAGGTCGCGGCTCGGGGCCGACCTGTCCCCGGTGGCGCGCGCGCACGCTCTCGGCTCGGATGAATGCGCATGCATATCTGGGCGTGTTGTGATGCCACGATTGTTCTCCAAGTTTACATCTTCGACTGGCAAAATAATACTAGTAGTACGTACTGTACCAGTTTAAACATGTGGCATAGACATGGATGCCATGCTCTGTTCATCCGCGCCTCTCCCATGGTTTTATGTGTAACGAACGCTTTTCCAATTTAAACGGACCTCGTTTGCTAAGAGCCAACTGTTTCGCAAATCACTCACGTTCGTCCACGGTGATTTTTCGCATGCATTGCATGCTGGTGGCCAGTTTGTGTTGCTAACTTGCTGTTTAGTTTCTGGTTTTAGTTATTGAGGTCAGGAGGCAGCTGGTTGACTGGCTCACTATCAGTCAAGCTACTTACCTTCTTATGTCAATGTTTGCTTTTTGACGTTGCTATGGCAGGCTTACGCCGGCCGGCCTGATCCATTTTCATTATATTTAAGACAGAAGGCAATACAATATAACGCAGCTACAATATATGGCTTTCAACGCATACAAGAATGAACAAGAAAAAAACAGGGAGAGAACCAAACAAGCTACGACAAGCAACAAGCATTCAACATCAAGAATTTACCACCCACCACTTGATAGGCCGAGAAATAGCATGAACTATCATTGTTGGATCATTCGAGAGGAGATCCAACACCAAGAAGACATAAAGAGGAAATCATCTGCTTTCCCTGCAATCACTCCGCACCTTGAAGAGATAGGAAAGTCGCAGCCACCGTCGAAGGGCTTCCCGTGGCCTAGCCAAGTTGCGACAAAGAGAGTCACAGACCAAGCCGAAGGATTGTGATCCACCATGACAGCCTCTGCACCTCTTCTTTGCCCCCACGGGCCAACATCAGATATAGAGAGAACTAGAACACTATGTGAGGCGACGAAATCTCAAGCATCGTCGAAGCGAACCAAACTTTGAGACCTCACCGCCGCCACGAGCACCCAAGAGAGAGGCCGACCAACATCACCAAGGTGATCAAAGCAATGACTGTTGTCCCAGATTACTTCCACCGCCGCCTCCCGATACCCCAATATACCAACCAAGACAATCAACGACCAATAGCAGATCCATGGCTCTAATAGAACTCCCAAGGGGGAAACGACATCGAAGATGCCTCCACCGTCTAATGCATCGATGGATCTAAGGATTTCGCCCAAAGCGCACCATAGAACGAGCTACGAAGCTTCACAATGACACCTTCAAGAACAAAAGCAACGCTCGAAAGCGTTACCATCATCTTGTTGACTAGGTCAGCAAGGCTTTCGTCTGAAGCATTGTATCTCGAACCTCCGCATAGAAGCTGGTCGCCGAGTCCGACAACCACATGAGCACGAGACCTCATGACCCCTCTGTTGGGCGGGGAAAAGGCATCCTCACTAGGTCCAAAAGGAGCCCCCTGTCCCCGTAGACGCAACCACTCACCTCGAGCACTGGCGCCGACAGAAGGAGGATCGATCCAGGTAGTCTCACAAGCAGCTCCGTCAACCTCCACGCACGTCAATGATGAGTGATATTTTTGTGCTCATTACATCGTTGTTTAAACCGGACAATCTTAGGATTTCCAAGAAAATCACTTTAATATAGCCACTAATGATTAATGAATGCGAGAGATCGCAAAATCCTTTGTTTAGCGTGCTTCCGAAGAAAATAAAGAGGTCCTAAACATAGAAGGGATCATCACACGCAAGGAATACAAAGTTTGGTGGAAGAAGTAAGGGAATTGGAGGAGCACCGAGGCCTATAGAGCGCAAGACGACGCCTGGTACGAGCACATTTGCTCGTACTCGCCCCCATAATGTCAGCTCCAGGAGGTCCCCTTGACCAACTTCTATAAAGGGGTTGATGCCTAATTCTCAATGGACAGGGCACCATTCATGAAATAGAGAACAAGAGCCATCTTCTAATCCTAGCGGTCGTCATTTCCCATCTCATCTCTATAGCTGCACCACAATCATCACTGCAGCCATCCACCTCAAGTTGGTCATACTTGTAAGGTGTACGCGTTTGACAACTATTGTAAGACATATCATCAATCAAGCATTCTTCTTTATATCGTCTTCAATTAGTTCATCTTGCAATCCGATCGCCATGTGTGAGTAATTCAATAAGAAAATGGATTGAGGCAAATCCTTGCAACCGGATGTATTTATGCAAGGGATTGTTGGAATGCTTTGGTATAACAGACTTCTTTGTATGTGTCTGATTGCAACACAATTTTCTCTTGTCTTGTTCTCGTTCTAAGGCCCCGTAGGTATCCGGGATCTCGTAGATCAAGGAAGGGGAAGGTAATGAGCGAGCAGGATGTGGAACGCTATCCCAAACAACAATTAGAGTAGGGGTTAGTACGATAGCGAAAAGATATTCCTTGGGAACGAATGAGGTGTTGTCACTAAACACCCAATGCTTTTTGTCTGGATGTTTATTCTTAGTAACTGAGGTAACCACACATGACGGTAATGGCCATCGGTTGGACAAATGACTCATGATGCAGGTCATGCACCGATCAAGACATACTTTAGACACATCCCACACATCTTCGCGTCGCAAGCACATCATAGCATTTGTCTTCCATAGCACAATTTAATATCATTAAGACCCCCTTTTCTAATTATGTTTAAACTATTCAAAATCGGAAAAACATTCTATACAAAAAAAGTAGCGCATTCTCACCAGCTTTCCAACGGCATATCATTTGCATCATTCAGATCAATCGTTTTCAAACTAAGACAAAAATGCAATCTTAGTTGTTCGGTTCTTAAAATTCCATCATTTTCAAAGTTCTCTTGAACTATAGAGATTGGAGAAAACTTTCTATATGAAAAATGAGTGCAATTACAACAAATATGCAATGCCATTTCATTTGTTTCATTTCGATAAACCTTTTAAAACTGAGCCCGAAAGTACAGTTGACGTTTTTTGGTGAAAGAAACACAGTTTTCGGAATTGTACTTAAACCGTGTAGATTTTGTGAAAATGTTCAACATAAATCATGATAGTCATGTATGTAGCTCTCAGACGGTATATCACAAACCCCGTTTAAACAATGTTTGCAAAAGTTCAAACTCTGCATAGGATGCTACTGCTGCTACGATGAGTCGACTTGTTTCTAGAATAATATTCTCTCATTGTTATCAAAATAACCCCCTTGACAGACAAATCATTTGGAGGACGGCCCCGGGCTGCCATACGCCCCGTCTCTCTCCATCTAGTTCAAAACTAGACGGTAAGTTGCTAGGCTGCTTCTCTCTCTAGTTTCTCTCGACGATATTTGTTCGAGACAACAATGTGCTGCTGAATCACTACTTTGGTATGTGTGGTTACCGCATAGGAATCGTCAACTTTGACTCTTGATCGATGAAGAAATTCTCGCGTCTGGGAGGTATAACCTAGCTACAGGAATTGTCGGATTGTCACAAAACCTTCTCCCTCCTCTCCGTGTTGTTGGTGAGATTGGACCTACGATGTCATCTTCATAGCATTCCTGGGTGTGATTGTATGGTAAACTTTGTTGTTCCGTAGTACGTTCCTCTACAGTTCACTACTCAAATATGAAAGATGTGTTACATAGCAATTGAGGATGGGTGACCAACTTGAAAGTAAGTTGTTCCCAGTGCGCATGAGTGAAGACAAAGTGTGTAGGAAATACTAGTGTTAGTATGTGGGGCTAGTCTAGATCTCAGGCGCAATGCCCAGGAACCGACGTATTTGGTCGGGGCGTTATAATTGGTATTAGAGCCGACCCTCGCGGTTACACGGGCGTGTGGGGTCAGTGATGCATACATGGGGCACATGTGGATGTTGGCACTAGTACTCATAGATGTGTGCCAAGAGAGAATGTTCCCCCTGGGTTACGGGGACGTCGATTCCTTTGTCTGTCTAGCGTTGTTTTGTTTTTTTATTGACGTGTGCCAAGATGTGTGCCAAGAGTTTGCACATAGGGGTTTACCTAGGTTCGGGTCCTCATTGCTCAGGTAATAGCATACACGCTGCTTTTTTATTGACGTGTGAGCACCTTGTGCGAGAGGATCATCATGGTAGCTACACCTTATAAATGGGACGAGAGTTAGGGTTTACAGAGTCCCTAACCGACCTCATCATAGATGGCTTCTTGTCTTGCACGCCATGATTTATGTGAAACCCTAGACGGTTGGTGTTTCTCCGAAGCTTTTTTTTTTTGAAAGATCTAGCTGCCGGCTGGCGTTCATTAATTTAGTAGGAAGCAATAATGGATAACATTGTTGATCAAGTTCAGTGGGTTTTGAGAGGGAGAAAAATATAGGAAAAAAAGGGGGACAAAAACCCTAGTGGTATGTCTCCCAGTTACATCCCCAAAAGGGGTCTCAATTGCTTTCACTCCTACTAGCCCCCATTGCTCCATGTTTTGCCTAACGGCATGAATGACATCGCTTACCCTTGGCAGTTTTCCACGTAATATGCAGTTGTTTCTTTCCCTCCAGATCTCCCATGTGATCATCATAATCATGGTTTTGATCCCCTTCCTGCACTCCTTGCTTGCTCCCAGTATGATGGCCTGAAATGCAGCAGAAGATTGGCTGTATTCGTTTTGGATTGTCCCCGTAGAGTTGCATCCTGCCCAGGTTGCATCCTTCTGCCAGATTTCTTTTGAGAAGGGGCACTACCACATGAGGTGAACCGAAGTCTCCAAATTGCGCAGACAGAGGGGATAGAAAAAAGCATTTGGCCATCCTCTTCGCTGCAACCGATCGTTGCACCAGAGATGGTTCAGTTTTGCAACAACCAGCTGAAGATCTTTATTTTACCAGGAGCCCAAGCTCTCCAGATCGTGCTCTTGAATTCAATTACCGGTGCATCCCTGAACTGAAGTTTGTACGCCGAGCTGGTGGAGTAGCATCCGTTGCTGCCGCTTGTCCAAACAATTGTGTCCGCCGTTTGGTCATCCAACCTCCCGGCATGGGCGTCGATGAGGCGCCAGAGTCTAATGTACTATGTGATGATCTCATCCCTATTCCCATGACTTAGGTCCTTAATCCACTGATCACTGGCCAGCGCCGCCACAACGGTTTTGTTCTTGCGCCTGGAATGTTTTTACAGGGCGGGGAATTGGGTGCACAGTGTGGTGCCTAACCATGAGCATTTCCAGAAGATAGCCGTCTTTCCATTGCCGATGCCGACAGTCGTGGCGGAGGCGAAGAGCGCACGGTCGGCGTCGTCGCCTGGAGCTTCTAAGTTGTGTGATTGTTTTATGGGCTCATATGTAACGCCCTGAACACACCCGCCGGTGGTCGTTATTGCTGGCGGGATCTAGACTGACCCCACAGATCAATATTAGTCTTTTTCTGCGCACTTTACCCTCACTCTTGCGCACCCGGAAGCAACTTTCCAGTCGGTCACCCATTCTGAAACTACTCCAAGCTGAGCACGCTTAACTTTGGAGTTTTTTCTGAATGGGCTCCCGGAAAAAAGGAATTCCTTATTGATATGAGTAGTCTATCATCACTAATAAGTCAGGCTATCACATCATATGTGAGGGCTTGGAGCTTCCCTCAAGAGCTACCATACTGAGAGGAAACTTGGGCATTCGTTTACCAATGTTCTCGAAGACAAAGGTGATGCATTCATTATTGTGGGAGCAGTCGTTTCTTCCAACCTTTTCAGAGGAGATTAGCACTCCCCCAAAAGTGTGAACTTGAGTGTACATCTTCATCACCATCACTTTCGGCTGTCTCTTAACACTAACTTTATTTAATGTTATTACTTGCTTGTCTGTTGCCTCTGTGTAGCTCTTTAGCTTGTTGTAACTCTTCATATATGGTGTATCACTTAGCTGCATATCTAAATAACCCGCATTTCCGCGCTAGCCTCTAAAAGCAACTAAGAAAAGTATTAAATTCGGTAGTCGCCTATCCACTCTCCTCTAATTGATATCTAGCACATCTTTGATCCTTCAGTTTTTCTTTCTCGCAAGGGTGGTGTTTGTGCGAATGACATCGCTTTATCTTTGAGTTGGCCGTTCAGACCCCAATCCTCCTCAAGGTCGTCCATCAGCACGGAGTCGGTGGAGCCCCGGCGTAGATTCCTAGTGTCTTTTTAGGGCGCCGTAGATTCCTAGTGTCTTCTTAGGGCGCCGACGATGTTAGGGTTTCTCGCAGTGAGTGTGCGCGAGAAAAAAATTGGTGTTAGGTGTTTCACATGGGTTCAATGACAATGACTGCATCTCTCGGATGCTTGTCCTCGTAGGCACGTGCGCTAAGACTTCCCGAGTGTCGTCGACAAGATAAAATTTATGATCAGATTTTTCTGAAGGATTTCAATCCTCTAATAAAATTGCAATAAAAATCGTTTCAAGCGAAGGGGCGGATTAACGATGAAACCAGAGACGATTTTCAAAATCCTGTGAGAGGAACACGGCGGATTTAAAATAAAATTTATTTAAAACCTAGATCTTGTCACATCCGACCCCCCGCAGCGCCCCCTCCTCTGTCGTCTCTCTCGCGGTCTTCTCCTCTCCCCCCATGGCCTCCGCCGAAATCCCCAACGCCGACACCGCGGAACCCAACCCCAGCCCCAACCCCGCCGCCCGTTCGCCGTCGCCTCCGCTCCCGCCGCGCAAGCGCCGCCTCTCCCTCTCCCCTTCACGGTCCGCCTCCCCCAGGCGCTCCGTGTCTCGCTCCCGCTCCCCCCGCGACCGCCGCAGCCGCAGCCGCAGCCGGAGCCGCAGCCGCAGCCGCAGCCGTAGCCGCAGTCGCAGTCGGAGCCGTAGTCCGCGCCAGCCCGAAGGCAAGCGGCGGCGGCAGAACGACCTCACCGTCGAGGCGTGCCGCGACTACCTGCGCGACAGGTGCACCCGCTCCGACCTCGAGTGCAAGTATGCGCACCCGCACCAATCCGTTTCCGTCGACCGGTAAAAGCGCGAGATCTTGCCTCCTCTGCCAATGTTAGCGGCATATTTATTCTTGTCTGATTTGGGTTTTGTTGATTCGGGAATTCGGCAGGGACTCCAAGGTGACGGCATGCGCGGATTCGCTGAGGAACAACTGCTTCCGGGGCAGAACCTGCCGCTACTACCACCCGCCTCCTCACATACAGGAGTATGAGCTGATATCCCCTTGATTTTGTTCGATTCAATTTGCTTGATTTGCTTCACTTGTTCAGCTGTGGATGTCTGGCAATCTGGTTCCATGTTAAGATGCAGGCTGATGCAATTTAGGCTAGTTTGAAGTATATATCTCTGAAAATTCCCTCTATAGTTCAGTTTCCAAGTATCAGCAGCAGTATCATCACACGAGATTTTTCCATTTAGATAAGAGGATCAGATTGCCTGCTTGACATCATGTATTGTAACAATGTGCCTCCATCTGATGCAAATTGTTAATAGCCCTGTTGTGTGAGCTAGTTCTAAAGTTACAGTTTTGCAGTTTGGGCTTGCCAGCCCAATAAATTTGTTCATGGTCCGCTCAGTTTTTCATATGGGTGATTACACACGCTGTTGGGTGCAACTTTCTGATTACAGCCTTCTTTGGTCGATCCTGTATAGGTCGTTGCTGAGATCAATTGGTTTGGACGTCCCACAGGTGAAGACGGTAAGCTGTCCTTTCTGTCCTTCAATGTTTTCTCTAACACATCATTTATTATGAGCTCTCCAGGTTTTTCTGAGTATTTAGTGTGTACTGCTATGGAAGAGCTGTTTAGCTAATGTTGTGTCTAGTCTGCACGTAGGATGCTAGATGTGGCAGCATGGGCTGGCAGTCCAGATTGTGCGTTACGTCAGCTTGATGAGACCACAAGTTTGGCTGAGGGGGAGATTGTTTGGAAATAATTCACAATATCCGTATTTTTGTCAGACTCGGAAACATGGTTTCCATATCGATGCTTTGTGTTGGTATGACCTTAAGGGATACGATAAAATAAAACCAAATCAACAGTTCCTTAGCTGTCTTGTCCAAAACTGTGAAATGATCCTCTTCACTTCATTAGAGATGCATAGCATTCTGTACAGTTTTGTACAAGTTAAGTTATTCTGATGTATTGATCTTATGTGATGATGATTTTTCTTATACATTACCATTCAGGACTGCTAACTGAGCATCCTTCTTTTGAACATTTATCAGGTTTGCAGAGATTTCGCACGTGGGCGATGTTCAAGATCAGCAAATGAGTGCCGCTTCTTGCACCATTCATCTGTTCAAGAGTGTGCAATTGTAATATTTTCTGCCGTTAAAGATTGTACTCCCTCCGGTCCTTTTTAGTTCGCATATTAGATTTGTCTGAAGTCAAGGCTCGTAAAGTTTGACCAACTTTATAGAAAAAAATACCAACATTCACAATGTGAAATCAATACTAGTAGATGCGTCATGCCTTAAAGTTTCATGTTGTATAACTTTATCATGGTAGATGTTGATATTTTTTCATATAAATATGGTCAAACTTTTTAAAGTTTGACTTCAGACAATTCTTATATGCAGAGTAAAAAGGACCGGAGGGAGTATTACTAACTTGCCTAGCATAAAAATAACGACCACATAAAACTGTCCACATGTGAAATGTTTTTTTTCTATTATTGTGTACCTGGGTACCCCTTTGCGTACTGAACCCCCAAAGCAAGAATATAATTTCCCCTATTTAGCATTTTGTATATTACTGTATGTCTGTATTTTAGCATTTTGTATATTTTGTACACAGATTGCTGATTAGATATTTTTTCTTGACAGGTTTGCCAAGATTTCTTGCGTGGGAGGTGTGAGCGTATATCATGTAGGTACACTCATGTCATAGCACAACCAATGCTACCCCCACCAATGAGGGATGTTCCCATGCAAATGCCATATCCTGAGATGGTAAAGTGTTTCTATTGAAGATATAGTCTTACTCTTAAACAATACTCTATTGACAAGAAATTACTCTTCCCTTCTCTCTCATAAAGAAATTATTTGGAATATATTATTTATCTGTTGACCAGCCAGCAGATCCTTTGTTCCCAGTTCATGTGCAGTAAGAAATGAGTTTGTAAATAAAGAACTGTTTAAAGTATTATATTATTAGTTGCCTTTTGTAGTATATATTTTATAAGTTGATCATGGTTAGTATAACCTATACTTTTTTTTTTGCTCTTCAAGGTTTACATGCCACCACCACCACCACCACTGGGAGTACCTATGATGGCTCCTCCTCTCTCACCTCCTAGAGGTTTTGCTGGTAATTAACACATCCGCTATACCATGCAGTATTGCTTTTCGGTTTTGTTGGGAAAGAAAACACTAGGTTTGCTCTCGTGGAATTTAATCTTGACTCCTGAGTGTTGAACCATATTTTGATCATAAGACGACTACATGACTTTTTGTAGTTCTCCTTTTTTTGACACAGAACATAATTTTGATACTTCTCTTGTAAAAACACAGATAACAAGAACACAGTGGAAGTTTGCAGGGACTACTTGAAGAAAATGTGCAATAGAGAATCATGTAGATTTGCACACCCTGATTCACAAACTGAGGTTTGTATGTTTTGTCATTTATTTATCTTAGTGTACGAGCTATCAGCCAATCCATTTTGCATCTTTTCTACTAGGTGGCACATGACAAGGTTGAAGTTTGCCGTGATTTTAAACGAGGAGAATGCACTCGACCTACATGCCGCTTTTACCACCCATCCTCAAGCTGAAGTTCTGTTAGATAAAGTAAAGTAACCTATATCCAGTGATTATTTTTTTCTTCTCCAAATCTGGAATCAGACTAGTAATATATAGCTGCTGAATACATAACACAAGAGGCCATATACCCCAGGATACTTTATCTCTAGTTAACCTAACATTATTTTTTTTGGATTTGTCCATTCAAAATAGCTGGAGCAATGCTAACTTTTTTTAGGATTGCCAATTTTTTTCTGTCAAATGTTCATGTCATATGAATAATCAAATGTGTGCCTAGAGAGGGGCACCATTTGATACATTTATATGTCCATGTGAATAGGGGTGGCCATGCTAGAAATGTTTTGGTCTAAGATTGCAATTTTTGTGCATCAGATGGTCATGCCATTTTTGCTAAGCTGACATCTGCTGTTCTAATGCTGTTCTAATGCTGTAATATGAGATTATTTTTGTCATCTTTGATTCCACATCAGATGTCACTCAGTTTTATATGATCAACTATGTTCCTTAGCCAGATAAGCTCTTCCTTTTATGTTTCTCTTAGATGCATGAACTCCACAACAGCGACAAGTTACCTGTTAGATAGGTTTAGTGTTCTGGAGTATCATACAAGTTTGTGGTGTTGGGACTAGGTTTGTATATTTCTGATGAATTATAGGTTCATATGTCTGATGAAATGGGCCTGTCATATGTTGAGCTAATGCATTTCCCCTCCATTCAATCAACTTTTTTAAGTATTGTGATAAACAAGTTATTCATTTATGGCCAAGAATTCTTTCAAGGTTGTGCTTGAAAAATAAGTTATGTTTTTTATTGTCCTTCCAGCGGTCCAGCCTTTTAATAAATAGTGCGCTCTAACAGCTTCAAAGTGATGCTCTGATAACCTACTCATCTGGCATGAATCATGCCTAATTCAGCGTGTTTTAGTGTAAGATCTGGTGGAAGTTGACTACTATACTACATATAACTCCATTGGCTAATGAGTCAGTGTCTAGCTTTGCTGATTTCGCCTTTATTCAACAACTTGAATACACAGAGTTATCATTATTTAGTTTTTAGATTTAATTTAGCTCTGCTTAACAAGTGGATACTCCTTGTTTCCTCAGTCTTGCGTGCCTCACTCTGCTGCTGCTTCTGCTGCTGCTAATCCTGCTACTGCTGCGAAAGAGCTGCCGCGCTGGCTGTTGTGCTGCTGCTAAGGTGCCATAGAGTATTGAGACCCTCACAAAGTGCCATGTCCCTGGAAGAAAAACAAACTTGTTACTATCGTGTGATGTTCAGATGGTTTGCTTGAACTTGACTCAGCTTTGGATAGCCTTCTTCACAATGGACTCTGCATGTGTGGTTGTGTATTTGCGTTCATAAAGATGTTTTTAGACTTTTAGCTGCGAGTTGCTTTGGAGTTTTGCATAATTGAATCTTGTTTACCATCAGTTGTAACCCTCCACACTTGGTTGGTTCATCTTCTGCGCCGCGATCTAGTTCATTGGATTTCCTGGTTATCCTGGTGCCAAAAATACATCTGGAAGGGATTTGGCTGGTACTACCAATTATGTACCGAGTGAATGGAGACTTTGAAATTTCCAACAAAGCCCTGTGACATTGTTCGCGAAAGAACATGCATCAAATTGCTTTAGCACCAGCGTGTGCATCCTGCAAGCTTGCGCTCGAACCCGTTGGCGGCCGTAGCGTTGTGCATCTACCGTTGTTTGCCAACTATGGCATATGCATCAGTCTATCGTTTGTATATACAGTAGTATCTTGTAAAGATGGTGGGTGACACGGGCTGTTGCGTTTTGCGCGTCACTGTGAGGACCAGTCGACCAGATAAATTGTCTCGTTCGCCTGGCTTTGTCTCGTCGCGGGCGTCCGTTTTATCGCTCCAGTCTCCCCTCTATTTGTTTTGGCATTTGTGTTCAGGCATCACCATCATCATGACTATAAATAAACAGTGGCGCGATTTATCATATAAGTCGAGCCTAAGCTTATCGCGATGCTGAAGTACGACTGCTCTGTCTGCACAGATGAGGGTGCGGGAGAATTTTGCCGCGTAGAGTTTTCTACTATTGCTTAAACAAAGGGCGTGCTTAGCACCCAGTAGGAGAGGATTGAGTGTACCTACAGGGCTTCCATGCCATTCTATTATTAGCTCTGCCAAAGTCTCGAGCTCTGCCACCGCCTCGTCTGGAGCGGATTGGGCAGCCACGGTGGTGTTTGACTTCGACCCTCTCTCATCTCTCCCTCTCCCTCCGAAGTCTTGACCCGAGCAAGAAGTAGGCTTCCCCATGGCTTGCTGTTAGTTTGGGTCGGCACTCATGTGCAAGGGGCTTTGATGATGGTGGAGAGGAAGAGAGATGAGGGAGAAGCAATGGCCATGAACGGGCCGCGGCAGGAAGGAGAAGCAGAAGCCGCTGCGGCACCGGCAACGGCAGTGACAGGAGAGAAGGGAGAGGGAGAGAGGGATGACGGAGAAAGGGCCGACGGCGAGGAGCGGAAGGAGGAGAGCGAGGAGGAAGAAGAGGAGGAGGAGAAGAAAGACAAGGTGGAGCTGGAAGAGTGGTCCGAGCTAAGGCTGGCGATCGCGGAGCTGTCCCCGATCAGCCGGCGCGGCGGCAAGCTGTGCTCCTCGCCTCCCACGCTGCCCTTCCTCGGCCTCTCCCACCTCCTCCTCCGGCTCCTCGGTGAGTAGAAATGAGCAGTATGCTTCCATACTCTGTTTTGGTGTTCATTTCGCATCCATTTCTTCTTTTGGTTCGATCGGTTTCTTGACGTGCCTGTGTCTGTGCATCTTTGGCTTGTTGCTCTCCCGTCCACGTGGACGTGGTCCTTGCTGTCGCTGATGCTGCGTCGCCTGCACGGGCTTGCAGATAAGATTGGTCCGACAATGGCAGTGCTGCGGCTCGACGTCCAACGGAACATCGAGGTAAATATACTACTCTCTTCCCACCCTCACTCTCGGGGTTTTCGTAAGTAGTACGTACCACTAGGAACTAGTGTATCAGCGATCTAGCTAAATTGCTGCTGGTAAAAACTAAACATGCACGAAGCAGTAGTAGGCAGGGAGTCTCGATCACACCCCTCTACCTGAGACCAAAGATCCAAAAGAAGATGGCAAGTCGACTCCAAATCGCATCAAGATTTCTCGACTAAAAACTGTTTGGTGCGTGTGTGGTCCACGTAATACCCTGGCTTTTCCCATCCATCTCGTCCCGTCCCGTGCCGGCCACACGGCTAGGCGCCAAAAGTGATGGATCACCCTGTGGCCTGCTTATTTTACCTAGTGTTATCTGAGCTATATAAGCGTGGTTATTCTACTTTTTATTTTCTGAGTTTAGCCTGGTTATTATTAGTATCATTTTGAATCCATTGGTGGAACCAAAAGAGCACGCGTCTGCATCGTCCGACGCATCACCCGATCCTTTACTGTCGCCGTCGTCTTACTGGGCATGAATGCTCTGGTCGAATCGACGCCGATCATTCGAGACCGCGATAGTTTGATCGGATCATGGGACGGATCAGGAGATGGATCCGATTCCGTTGCATCCACCATTTGCACGTACGATGATGAGCCGCTCCCAAGTTTTGCATCAGCACGAGGACCATGGGATTAGGCAAATATCTCCGAGAAGACAACTTTTGCTTTCGCAAGGGGTGACGAATGAGCCATGGATTAGGCATTAGGGGGTCGTGTGCCGCGCACAGGCCGCCGGCCTTCAACTGCCCCGGTCACATCCGTCCTCCTTCACAGGCTAGCTCTCTTGTCCGTTCCTCGTTGATGTTTCTCCTCCTTTGCTAGAAGCTACGGGCTTTGTTTCTAAACAATCCCAAGAAGATAAGAGATGGTTTCTTCTTCTTCTAAAGGTAATGATGGCGATGGCAGGGCAACAGTTTATCTGGGCATGAATAATTTGGATCGCACGGCTGCATAGGGTCCCTATAATTGGGGACGGCACGAACTTACTGTAGTACTGTATGTTAGGCTGAAACTTCGGGATTATTCTTGTGTTTTTGGGTTTTTGCTGTACCACTACCACTAGCTGTAGCGATGCAGACAGATGGATATGCAACACCTAATTCAGCATTGACTCATCTATGTTTTATCTCCCCCTTCTTAAAATGTTTTGATTCTTGTACTCGTATCATATTCCTATATCTGTAAATAGATGGATCGCTTCTTGTTTCCCTCAAGGAATATAAGTATAATTCTTGTTGCAGAGGCTGCAGGAGCTATACTTGCAGGACCCATCCAAATACTCCACTCTGACGGCGATGGTGGAGAAAGAGACCGACGACGGCACCGTGAGGAAGGCCGATAGCTGTGCAAGGGCTATTCTATGGCTCACTAGGTGAACCAACAAACTGATGCAACTTATATTGACGTTCTATATACCATTGTGCTACTTGATTAATGCACCACTTCTCATGTTTTCATCTTCTTACTGTGCAATATCATCAGATCCATGGATTTCTCTGTTGCACTGTTACAGAGACTGGAGGAGGAGGAGGAGGAGGGTTCTGATCAGCAGAGCCTTGCACAGCTTGTAGAAGCTGCGTACAAGGTCTCTCTCAAGCCGTGGCATGGCTGGATTTCTTCCGCGGCATGCAAGGTTAGGGGCTGCTCAGTTTGTTTTTCAGCTAGCGACTTTGTCGGAAAGCCCGACAGACAGACGCTTGTCCTGATAACACTTGGTTGACTTGCACAACTGCTACAAACTTTGTTGAAACAGATCGCATTGAAACTCATCCCTGAGAGGGCGATCTTCGTCGGCTGGCTCATGGGGGAAAACCAGAGTTACAGTCTCCCCAAGCTCGAGATTGAGAAGCTCGTCCAGCTGCTCCAGCCCTTTCTCGACGACATCCATGCCATGCTGGTCAGCACCCTTTGTGGATATCGATCCCCGATTAATTTCCCGCGTGTTGCTACACCTTAAATGACAGTATGAGTTATGCGATAACTGTGATTAAGCATTGCTGTGTGATCGTTTACAGGCCAAGTTCAAACTGGACAGGCTGAAGTCGACCTGAGGGTGAATGCTAAGATGGTCTCCATTTTCAAATTCCACTTCTGTGAATACCGCCTTGGTTTGTATGCGTACATGTTTCTCTTTTTTGAGCTGCCCGTGCTCGTGCGCCTCACTCTGTAAATAGGTCTTCATGTAGGGTAGGACTAGATTTGTAGCGCTCCTTGCGGGTACGAGTTCTGCCTAGTCAATGTACTTGTCCATCTTTCTACCCTCAGTAAATTGCATTTTCCACCGGCTTTGTTTGTAGAGGCTTGCTTCAGTACATTGACATGCTCTGAACTAAGGGAGGTTCAGACATGAATCAAATTCAGAGATCGCTATGAATTAGCCCTGAATTCAGAGGGGGGTTTGCTAGGGTTTCTATCGCTCAAAGAGAAAAGTAAAGCTCGACCCACATCAGTGGCGGCTAGAGTTTATCCCTACTACAATTTACAACTCGATGCCTCTCTCGGCTGAGATCCAAAGACTTTATAGCTGGTGCCATTTTGACATTCCCTGTTTTGTTTTGCTATGCTAGTATTTGACTCCTTCTCTATGTCATATAGAACATCCAAAAAGAGAAGCTAAAGGTAGAGACCAAATTTATTGAGTTGGGAGACGTGTGCAAGAGGGAGGGGGTGAGCTTTGGGCTCATGAGCTATTCAAATAGTCTAAGGAAAGGTAAAGGTAAAAGTAAAAGAGACAAAACTGGAAACGACATGAGAGACATAGTAAATGATGCGAGAGGTAAATAAATGCCCGTTGTTGGATGAAGATCCTACGCTGTCCACGTCGTCACTTAAGTGGCTTGCGTACTGGTTCGCCCGGTTCATCCTAGCCGTCGAACATGGAAATGGATGATCTTGTAGATTCCAACCTTGAAGGTGTTGATGAGGTCTTGACAATGCCCCCCCCCCTCCCCCCTATAAGATTAGTCTTGTACTCGAGGCTGAAAGGAGGGAAAACCCTTCTACCCTTCTAAATAAATGTCTAGTCCTCCCATTTAGCATCCTCAATAGGAATATTGAGAATTTGATGAGCATTCGACTATTGAAACAAAAATATCCACATGAGGTCTTGGAATTACTTCAATGTCAAGAAGAACTTATTTTTCATGTTTGATTTTGCTTTTATCATCTACTAGCGAAAGATGGGGATTAGGAACAACATGAGTACCATTGCATCTAATCTCCTTGATGAATTTTGCTAATTAATGTCAATATATCTCAAGGTACTAATGTTTTCACTAGCTTATCTCAGGGAAGTTCCAATACGTTGCACCAACGAAGATGAAGGGTGACCGCCACAAATTTGCACGAGGACAAGTGTTGACCAAGCCAAGGACTATTTCCTTATATTAGGGAATGTTAAAAATCTGACAGTAGATTTTTAAGCATGACAAATCAAATGTTTTATGGCAAATTATATTGTCGCAATGATGGCAATTTCCTTTAGCAAAGCATGACCTGGCAAGAAATTGCTTAAAAATTGACGTTCATTTGTAGCGAAATCCTTTATATGTTAGTGATCCAAGATCACATTGAGTCCATAGCTGTGCCGATACTATCAAAAGGGGAATGGGGAATGAGGTCGCTAAGCTAAGTTTCTTTCTCCATGCGATTAAAGGTCAAACTCCTAAGTGATGAGGACACGGAAGAGTGAGATGCTGAATTTGCATGTAGGTGGGCCGATTTTCAGACAAGAATATCTCTACTATTAAAGGGAGTTGGTACGTTCGCTTCCTCGCCTTCCTCTCACCCTCCCCCCGACATTGTGAATATGCAAGAAAAGAGCCCCCACGCATCCAAGAGTGCTTGCTTGTTCCTATTATCGTTTATAGGTTGTTTGCCTTCTTGGTTGCAATTGGTCTTTGTGTCAGGGTCTCAATTGGTATCTGTGTCAAGGTCTCAACGGGCCATACATGTATTTCAAGCTAAGCCATTTGGCCAGCTTTCGAGCTTAACGCTGACATGTCGTACGTGGAAACCCGACGAATGGAAGTTCCGCCGAACAATATTCGTCCGACTCAAATAATCAATGGATGCTTGCTATGCACATCGCTTTCTAACCGGTGCGTGCTCCGTTGGCGACGAGTACGATCGAGCGTGTGATGTATGTTCGTCCGGCCGTCTGTCGTTGGTAAACATACAAAGCAGATACAAAAAGAATACAAACATAATCATGTATAGACAATTCATGAGAAACATCCTTCAAATAGTTCACCCATTTTTTTTCGGTTTCAGTTGCTTTGCTTCTTGGTTGCAATTGGTCTTTGCACCAATGAGCAACAAGTCATCTACTCCAACAAAAAGTAAGCCAGTCTGAGATGTTCTTAAACATGTTAAAAACAAGAAATGGAGGAGGTGTGATAGGGAGAGAGATGACATAAGAGTATCTACAGCCAAACAAAATTGGTAAATCCACCCCTAAACATCCGTGGACACGCCGTGGCGTGACCCTGGACAGTGGTAGACGCCCCCTCAAAAGTCCTACCGGATAACCACACCCCTCATATCAAAACCCTTAAATTGATCGAAATCCATGAACATGGATCATATAGTACAAATTCATCACCAATTCAACAATGCAATAAAAAGCAAAATAAAACACAATTCAAACACGGCAAAATTAAATTCAACGTCCCGGCCATGTCTGGTTAATATGTTGGTTGCAATTGGTTTCTGCACCAATGACGTAGCGAGCCATCTACTCCAACAAAAAGTGAGTCAGTTTGTAACGGTCCTTAAAGAGAACAGGAGAAAAACAAGAAATGGAGGAGGTGTGATAGGGAGAGAGATGATATAAGAGTACCTACAACCAAACTTGCAAATCCACCTCCTAAACATCCGCAGACACACCCGGGCGCGACCCTGGACAGTGTTAGACGCCCCCTCAAAAGTCATACCAGACAACCAGACCCCTCATATCAAAAATCTCAAATTGATACAAATCCATGCATGTGGAACATATAGCACAAATTCATCAATATTCAACAATGCAACAAAAAGCAAAATGAAGCACAATTCAAACATGCCAAAATGAAATTCAACGTCTCGTCCGTGTCTGGTTAATATGATGAATCAGTCGTCGGGCGCCATCCGGGCCGCGTTCACTGCTACGGTGGCCGCTCTCACCCCTTTGTAATCCCTGCTCAGGTTAATCCCCTTCTACCTCACCACAAGCCACTTCTTACTTTCCGGATCCAAGAGGCTTGCCTCGTCCAACAGTTAGGGCATATTTCCCCCTTTGTGGTTTTGGAGATTGATGACAATACTTTTGCGGACTAATCATTTGCATTGAGCATTTCAAAGAATCTATCATATGGCACAAGACGATTCGTGCCCCTCGGAGATATATAGCGAAGACGATTGTTTTTCTTGCGTTTCATTTTTGGTGGATTTGAGTCGTAGGATCACCGTACTATTAAGAGGGGGTCTGCTTCAGAAAGGCTTGGCTGGAATCAACACATACATAGTCTTTTTGCACCCACTTTCCTTCCCGGCACTGGAGCTTTTCCTATCTTATGCTTGGGCTTACTTGAGGCATATAAGCGGTAGTACCGCTCCAGCGGTACTGCCGCAGTTTAGTGCTACTGGCACTTATGCTTATTTTTAGTGCTCTGTAAATGAGCGGTAGTTGGGCGGTAGTTCAGAGCGGTAGTACCGCTCCTGCGGTACTAGTACCAATCTACTGAGCATCTGACCGTACAGCGAAAGTACCGCTCCAGCGGTACTACCGTTGTTTTTCTACCACTTGGAGTACCGCTTATTTTATGCCCTCTGTACTGCTCTGTCCTTCGAGCGGAAGCAGAGTGGTAGTATCTAGCGGTAGTGCTGCTCTGTGCGGCACTACCACAATGTCCTTCTCTACTACCGTAGTTTCACCTGCTTGCTGAACACTATGCAGTAGTACTGCTGGTGGGATCGGTAGTACCGCTTTGGCGGCACTACCGTCTCTCTGACTTGTTCAGTTGCACATGCAGGTCGGAACTTCCGTTCCAACAGAAGTACCGCTCGCTCGAGCGGTACTACCGCTTATGCATGGGCTGGGAGTGCATAAGTTGCATCTTTTCCCCCACTATATAAGTGAGTCTTCTTCCCCAAGTGGACTCACATCTTTTGCTCCAAAAAGCTCCATTGTTTCTCAAGCTCCATTGCTTCCCGATCTCTCTGCCTAGCCAACAACTCTTGTTGATTTTCTAGTATTTGATTGAGAGGGCCCCGATCCACACTTCCACAAAGAGATATTTGATTCCCCCCATTAATACCTAGCGAATCTTGTTACTCTTGGGTGTTTGAGCACCCTAGATGGAAGCGGTCACCTCGGAGCCACAATCCATTATGGTGAAGCTTCTTGGTGGTGTTAGGAGCCTCCAATTCGGTTGTGGAGATTGCCCCAACCTTGTTTGTAAAGGTTCGGTCGCCGCCTTCAAGGGCACCACTAGTGGAATCGTGACATCTTGCATTGTGCGAGGGCGTGAGGAGAATACAGTGCCCTAGTGGCTTCTTCGGGAGCATTGTGCCTCCACACCGCTCCAGTGGTGATGTACTTCCCTTCAAAGGGAAGAAACTTCCGTAACACATCCTTGTCTTCACTGGTTCCACTTGTGGTTACTTCTTACCTTTACTTTGTGCAAGCTTTACTTGTGTTGTATCCCTTGCTTTCTTGTGTTGTTGTTGTTGTTGCTAGCATCATATAGGTTGCTCACCTAGTTGCATATCTAGACAACCTATTTGTTAAGAAAAGCTAAAAATTGCTAGTTGCTTATTGAAAGGATCGAGAAGAGGTGTCTAGAGGGGGGGGGGGTGAATAGACTCTTAACAAATAAAAGTAGCAATTTTTATTTTCTTCAAGTTAAGGTACAGATTTAGCACAAGTTTAAACATTCACAATACATTTCAAGCAAGCATGACAAGAGTATATGAGCAGCGGAAAGTAAAGCATGCAATTTGCAAGAAAGTAAAGGAATGGGATTGGAGTGTGCAAACGCAATTGGAGACACGAAGATTTTTGGCGTGGTTC